TTGAAAATTTCAGCAATGTAAAAATTCTTAGGCAGCTGTATTTACAAAAAGGTTCTTTAATTTTATTGTTACAGGTATAATAGTATAATAGCGATATAATACTGTATAATATTGAGATCATATTATTACCCACCTGTTCATAAGTTAATTAAAAAAATTTTTTTTTTATGTTTTTTTGTTTGACATATTTTAAAAGAATGAGACATTATTAAACGGCAGAGAGTTTATAAGGACTCATTAAAGAACTCATTAAAGTTTGTAGTTAAATTTCGCTGCACGATCGTGAATGCCCCCACCATCTTTCCATTATACAAAAAATTAATCCATTGAACAACATTTCTTTCATTAAGCTTTATTATTTTTATTGTCATCTCGTTGGCGCGTTAGCTCAGTCGATAAAAGTGCCATGTTCCATGCAGTTACGCAATGGCCTGGTTCGAATGCTGTCTGTCCAAAACTAAAAGACCATCATAAGCCACGAGTGTGCGTGTGATGCGGTGCTTGCGCGTGCAGTGATGGCGGGTGGAGGTTGTGTGGTGTGGATAGTGCAGTACAACCTGTGTGGCTTGAATGTTTAAATTTGTGAATAATATGAAAGCAGTTTTGTTCTTGCCAGAGCCACGTATATAGACAGAGAATGAGAGAATATTTTGCTGCTTTGTTTTATTTTTATATTTTACAAACGTTTTTATTCATGTTTCGCATAATGTTTGAGTTCTAATCCTAATCCAAATTCGCACAAATGAAATAAGGATTGCAAACTTTGTTGCTAGTTGATAATAATATATAGAACTAAGATATTGAAACAAAAAATAATTATTTTTGCTGATCCGTTTAATGATGATAAAAAAAAGATTATTTCACCAGTAATTAATTTTAATATAAATTTTCAAATGTTACAGAACTGCTCATATAAAACATTGAAATAAAAATGTTTGAGCAGGTAGGGAATCAGTCTCATGTAAATGATGAATGTTTTAACTTTTGTTTAAATAGACAAAAATTATTTCATTTAAGAAAATAAGATTTTCAAAACAAATTAAATTCAATAAATAGTTATATTTAGAATTATGATCAGTTTGTGAATACGAAAATTAAAAATAATATCTCGTGAAAGTTATTTTTTCAATGGTGTATGATTTATTTCAAATTTAAAACAATAATGAAATAAAGTCTAAAAATTGACCAAAAAACTATCAATTTGTGAGTATCAGAATATGTAATAACTGTTTTAGTAAACTTAATTATAAAAATAAGTAAACAATATGAGATGGATAAATTCGTTAATCTAATGAAGAGAACACAAAAAGTTTAGATAAAAGTTTTTAAGATGTTTTATTGAAAAAATGCAACTAGACATTCTAAAAAACAGGAAGCCAGCCAGTAGCCAAAAACTATAAATAACCAGCCTTGTGGAACAACGTAGATCAGCTTGTGGACAATGTTTATAAGAGCGAGCTCAGGATGGTGAAGATTAACAAATCAATTCTTGCGTAGATCAAGTCCAAATAACATTCACATTTTCTTCGTAATTATCGATTTGAGAAAAACTCCAGAAGGCTATCGAATGTTTTAACATTTTATGAATTTTTCAAGTGGCACTAAGGTGAAGATATTTTTTATTTTTGTCAAGTGTGGCAATTAAAAAAGTAATGATCTTCTTACAATCGATTAAATTATTTATTTTTTATTCATCGCAGAAAGTGTTGGATGACAATTCAAAGAAAAAAAAACTTGTCAATCATTTGTAGCTAATCTACAGATAAATCTGAGATATTTTATTTTGAAAAATAATTTTAGAATTGCGTGCACAAAATAGTAGAACTTATTGTTTATTGAATCTTTTTTTTTGGTTTTTGTATTATACTGAAAGTTGTTATATAGCGCAAATATCAATCAAATTTAAACATTACTGTATATTTTACAGTATAAATTTCATTTTACAGTCAGCAATTAAAAAAAAATCTAATCTATCAAAATTTTAGCCAAAACTTCTACCTTGATCCTATGAAATTATTCCACTGTTTCATTATAAATGATTGCACACAATGTTAGAATAGCCGGTTTACAAAGTAATAAAAATTTTTCATCTTGTGACATTTCATCCACCGCACATTATTCATTGGTTTATTTGAATAAATTCTAATGCATTTCTCACAAAAAACAACATTTAACCTCTGTATATTATTTTTGGCATAAATCATTTTAAATATTATATAACTTATTTTATGTAAAACTGGTTCTAAATTTTGGTTTTGGGATTTTATAAATGAGGTGTCTGTTTGCGCTTGGCTCCATTCATGGATTCCAATGAATTTAAAAATATTTAAAAAATTCTTTGAAATTCATTAAATGTTATTTAAACAAAAGTTTTTTAAAGATTATTCATAAGAGTTTTAATAAAGTATTTTACATTTATAACCCTATAACAATCTATCTTATTATTTGTTGCGATATTTCAACAGGTCTTAATTTTACCATATTGTTAACACCATCGTCTTCCTCATCATCACCATTTTCATCATCATCATCATCATTTTCCTCATCATCACCATTTTCATCATCATCATCATCATTTTCATCATCATCATCATTTTCGTCATTTTCATCATCATCTTATCTCCATCATCATCTTGTCATCTTCTTTCTCATATTTATCATTCAACAACCTGTCAGCAAAACACTAATCCCATTTGATTTGAAGTGACATTTATGTGGCACACACGCTCGCAGGGTTACGTTAGTAACAAATCAATAGGATGATCTTTAAACGAAATAATAAAATCAACATAACGGTGACATTTTCGGTTTTTTTAAATCTCTAAAATAATGCTATAGAACAACATTTACGATCATTAGTTCTTTTTAATAATAATTATTATTATTATTTTCATCTTTATAATGATCAATTTATTAATTAGGTGGTCATCATATAAATGTTGGAGTCGGAATGAAAAAATTATTTTATCCCATTCTATTGAATGCTGACTACACTAAACTATGATGTATTATACTATACTATACAGACTACTCAAAATACTGCATAGGAAGTATAATGCAATTCTTAATATATCTAATAATCATTATACATTAATTTATATGAATAGATGGAACATTTATAACGCAGGTGTACACCTATCCTTGATATAATAACAATAATAATAATTTAGATTCATATGAGATTTCTACGTTGAATCTCTAAAGGATGCCTGCATATTCATCTGTCGTCGCGCCCGTAAGTGACCCACCTTTAAGTACTTGCATGTAACTCGTACATGTGGTATTGAAGTGCGTGCAGACTGTGCGGAGTTGACAGGAGGTCTGAAATGTTTTTAATTATGCACATGATAATCAACTAGGAAGCAGAGAAATCTCTTCCCCAATGCATGCTAATCCGCATGTTGTCCGCATATCTTTCTGGATGTGAGTTGCACGCTGTCTAATGTTCCAATGTTTAATGCTGCACACCTGCAGATTTTATGGTATTTCGTTTTTGCTCTGAGTACTTCGTTCTTAAGGTAAGTGCACGTTGAACTTTAAAAGGTTGTACCGAGTTTTAATCTTATAAATATTCAAATGTATTCAGAAAGTTTCATCAGCTTGATAAACTTTCATAAATAAACCATACTTATTTGTTCTTTTTTGTTTGTTAGAAAGCCTCATTTATCAATTAGTTTTATTATTTATTTTGCAGATTTTATTTTTGACAGATTTTGAAATTTTTTTAACTCTATGTGAAAGATGTTGAATTTTATCTTCCAAACACTCCACAGCAGACATTTTTAACGTTTTTTATTTTGCATTTTGAGATTATGGAAAATAATAAAAGAATTGAATTGTGAATTATACAGAGTAAATGTTGGTCCAAAACAAGTCAGTTTCATTTAAAATATTTACTCTCAAATACAAGCTGACAGCATCCAATTTATAAGTAAATTTTCAAAAGTTTTTTGAAATTACAAAATTTTTTTTAAAATTTTTTATTAACCTAATTTGACAAACGCAGAGCTGCGCGTAATGTGACGTCATATACATATATATATTTTTACTTAGCGCCAAATTATCTAAAGTATAATTTTTGTGCAACAGAGTGCTGCATACATATCCACCACACGTCTCTGCAGTTCAATCTGCGCCAGATGTTAACGAGCACACATTGTACATTAGTGCATACAAAATGTAAAATTTTCATACAAGTGGTTTTCAAGATAGTTTCCAAAAAATTGTCAAAAGAAAATTGTCAAATTTAACAGCCAACAAAATGTAAAGTGAGTGAAACTTATGGAGGACGGAGTCGAGTTGCTCTCCACCAACATCCCTCTGAATATCATTTCATAATGATAATACAAATGTTTATAAGGTAAGTAAAACAACAGTTTTGAAAGTTATGATTGAATATTTTTCCAAGCTCTTAAAATTTAATGAAAAAACGATTCATCAAATGTTGATTAGCATTAATTTCTGAACCAACAATTTATTGTAACTTATTTACATCAGGTTCTGAGAATTACAAAAGTTGATTAAACGTCCTACTTCAAACATGATTGATTTGATATCAACATCGCAATTCCATCTTATATTGCTCAACAACATCTGTTTCTACCACAGTGACTTGCTGAGGGACAACAATAACAAAACAGTAGACACCACAAAATATAACAACTGCATTACGGTGGCCGTATTACGGTTAATGCTTTCCTCACAATGCAACACGTACAATAAAAGCTGTTAATAAAAAATAAACAGAACGTAATAAAAATTGTTTTTACACGGACTATGGATTGCCATGCGATGTAATAAAAGTGATGTAACATTCGTCAACAACACCAACCAAAACAAAACAAATGTAGACAACATAACAACGTCTGCTAAATTAATGTAGACAACATAAAAACGTCTGCTAAAATAATGTTGAAAACCTAACAACGTCTGCTAAAATAATGTTAACAACAACAACAACAACAACATTAATTCCGTGGAATAATTCTCAGAATGAAACCATGCCGGAAAATCTGACGTGGATTGGTAATAAGCTGAGCGCATTCGACAGCATCTACCAGCCCTACCACGGCTACATTTGTCTGTGCGTTTGCTGCTTTGGTTTCGTGTCCAACCTCTGCAACATCATCGTGTTGACGCGCAAGAACATGATCAGTCCTTTCAATCAAATACTGACCGCGCTGGCCCTGGCGGACCTGGCGACGATCATCAGCTACATTCCTTACGCAACCTACTTTTACTGCGTGAAGAAGATCTCGGAAATGCATAACTACTGGTGGGTCTTGTACCTGCTCTTCAACACAAACTTCATCATCACGACGCACACAATCGCCATGTGGCTCACTGTTTTCCTCGCAGTTTTCAGGTGAGTTGATGACTTCTTTTGTTATTTTTTTATATATTGTGTGACCTTACCCGAATGGAAGACTAATTGCTCTAACATTTTTTATTTTTAGCATAAATTTAGCATAAATTCAACGATTAGGTATATGTATTTAAGTGCATGTGATTGTCGGTATATGTAAAATATATACAGTATGTGCTTTAAATGAATGTATATTCAAACAATAAATTTGTTTCTATGAATACAGTAAATGTTTAACTTGAAATGTAAATAAACAACAATAAACGTAAGTTTTCATTAATTCAACGTCATTTCAAATTGGACATAAAAAACGCAGGAACGCAATTTTCATCAGTTTGACTTCCGATTCACATTCACAATTTACGACATTTTACTTTTTATGTTCTTCAATAAACAAATATATATATATATATATTTTTCGTACATTAAGATTGCTGTTTTGATGTTCAAAGTTTTAAATGGGCGTGCTCCTCCGTACTTGGTAGGTAGATTGACTAAACGTGATTCAACGTCTGATTATCCAGGATTGAGATTCAACAATAGGAATTTGCTGGACATTCCTCAAACCCGTTTGGTGACTGGTAAAACATGCTGTGATTTTCATCAATAATTGCATATATATATATATATATATATATATATATATATATATATATATATGTGTGTGTGTGTGTGTGTGTGTGTGTGTGTGTGTGTGTGTGTGTGTGTGTGTGTGTGTGTGTGTGTGTGTGTGTGTGTGTGTGTGTGTGTGTGTGTGTGTGTGAAAAAAGTATTACGGAAAATAAAAGGTTTCTATGTTTTGGTTGAACATTCCAGCATTTTAGTGAAGTATTGAAAAACAACGTTAAAAATATTGGTGAAGATGTTGTTTATTGTTGATCAGTAAAATGGGCGCTTTGGTGATTTAGCAGATTGTTGTTGTTGGTGCCATGATGTTGTCATCGTCATCCGAAGACAATTTTTATCATCTAAATGGTTGATGATGATTGGAAAACATCTGAATTTTTGTTTGTTTTATGTTGTGAAATGAGTTTTATATTTTGAAAATAGCATCGGTTGAAAGCTTTTGAATAATTTCGCGATGTTATCTCTTCAATCATAAAGATTGAAACCACAAAAACAACATGCACATTTCCGCATAGGAAGTAAGCAATCATTCCTTTGTTTGTCAGACATACAACGCTTCATCAAACTTTTATCTGATATTTTATTTCAAAAAATTTTAATATATATTGAACAATATTTTCATTCATTTTATTTGTCAAACAAATTTCTCAACAAAATTTTTGACTATTCCTTTTTATTTCTACATAGAATTGATATTGTTAAAATGATGAACAATTTTTTGCCTCAACCATTTTATCAAAAAATTTTAAGCCTTTTTTTATTAAAACATTTAACAGTTAAACCATTGAACTTTACCGCTAAAAATTTAAAAAACATTTAAAGTTTGTTGCGATACCCTTCATGAGGTACAAATAGATGAATTATTGTGAGCTTAAAATTATGGTGTCAACAAAAGAGGCAGCTATAGAGCAATGACATATTATAAAACGGTGATGAATGAAATTTTATGATGTTCTGAGATAATCATCATTACGGGAGTGGCACTCATATAATGAAAGCCATGCTAACTACAAGCGATGGCACAGAAACTGAATTATACAGGCCTGCTTACTCTGTGTGGCATCCTTCACAATAAGTTGCCGTGCCACGCAATATCTACAAACATGTCTGCCCGAAGACATGCCAGTGTTTATTCTGTGTTTGCGTACGACTGTTGTTTGTTTGTATTTGTGAGTTTGTTGTTTGTGTGTATTTAACTTGTGTATATTTTATATTGTCTATATTATATCCGTTTGATTCTGTGAGTGCAGATGTGTGTGAGTATGTGTGAGTGAGGTTGGTTGTGTGGTTGGCTGCTCGTGGTTGGCTGTTTTGTGGTTGATTGTTTGTGGTTGTGTGTGTGTGGTTGTTTGTTTGTGTAGTTGGCTGTATCTGTGGTTTGTTTGTTTGTGGGGTTGTTTGTTTGTGTGGTTGGCTGTTTGTGTGACTTGTTGTTTATGATTGTTTGTCTAAACTTGGCAGCTGCATTCGCGCTCAACGTGATTATCTGAGATTATGATGCCTTGAAAACATGCCTTCAAACAATTATCATCAACTTCCTGGCCAGTAAGAGGCTTGTGATATTCGTGATTAGTGATATTCGTGATTAGTGAAATTCGTGATTTTGTGATTTCGTGAATAGCGATTCGGTGAATTATTTAAAGCAATATTTGATTTGTTTGTTGACGTTGTCATAGCGATAGATTTTAAACAATTTAAAAGTTAATTGTTGCATTAGTTTGAATTTACTGGAAATAAACGATTAGTTGATTTCTTCTGTAAATAAAGTTTAATAACTAATAACTGTTTGGAGTATTTTATTCAATCGAAGATTTGAACCCGTCGCATCGTAAATCGGTTACGACAGCGAGTATTATAACATATATTGACTTTTTAACAATTGTTGGCACTTGACCCATTTTAAACATTAGAAATGTATTGATATCAATGTTGACCATAAAGTTTGATTGATTGATTGTGCAGATTGCAGTAGGCCGTTTAAACATTCTGGATTCCATTAAATATTATTTCGAATTCGACTAACATAATTTTATTCTAAATGTTAATCTATCTAAATATGCGAATTAGTTCTTATTTATTTTTTATAAATTAAACAATGAAAATATGACTGAAAGTTTCACACGAAACTCACTTTGGCAATTATATTCAAGCTGTCATTAATGTAAACATCACCGTAAATTTCATAAAATTTTTATAGATACATTTTGATTGAACTCCAGTTTTACATGCGGTGAATCTGCACCTCACCTTTATTACAAATCTCATCTCGTCTTCTTCTCCTCTTCAAACAGCAACAAACAATCTTCGATACATTAAAATTATTTAGTAAATATTTGAAATTTATGTGAGTGTGTGTGCTTGCGATTAGCCTACCAGAAAATGAATTGTTTGTGTGTTAGCTTTCTGTGCCTTTCTGTGCCGCTTTTGTGGGCATTTTCCTTGAAAATGGATTGAATCCGTGCGTGGGTTTTCCTAAGTGAGCCGCCATTTTGTTTCGCAGAATCATTTGAAGCAATTGTTGAATGTTTTGATTACATTCATCATGTTTTCAGCTAATTATTCGCATTCCATTCAAAAGCTTTTTGAGTGGGTTGGATGAATTTTTTAAATAGAAATATATCAAACGTTCGTTGTTATTTGAAACGTTAGGTCGTGCACCCCCTAAAAATCTACTTTACAGACTTCATTAAGATAAAATGTTTACCTCAATTTAGATTTTCTTTGAAAATTTAACATTCAAAAACTGTTGAATAGCTCAGTACATTTCAAAATGAAAACATTTTGTTAATAAACATTGCTAGCACGAGGTCCATTCGAATGTTTAATGTTCAGTTTTAGAACGTCTGCTTAAAGTTGAACAATATTGAAACTTTGTATGGGTCATGAGGAATTGAATGAAACTAAGACAGAAACATTCAGTAATAATGTAAATATTTGCAATGCTATCTTGAGAATGAATTTGTGGACACGTTTTCATAATTTGTCGAGGGGTTTATAACGATATCAAATAGGATTTGACATTTTTTTATTTGAGAGAAGTTCAACAATGCATTTGTTTTTTGTTTAGTTGTTCATACAGCTTGTAAGTATTTTTGTGTACGGCTCATTTGACGTTGAGTGGTGAGCGGTGATGAGAATCATCAATGATTCAGATGATGGTGGACGTTTGGCTACCGTTTGTAAACTGCATCTACTCTACACACACTCTTTCTCTCTCTTTCTCTCTCCACTCATAACATCATTCTCATTATTTGTTGTGGCCTAAAATTTTTTGATTTATTAAACTCATTTTCTTCTGTATTAGTTTTTAGGGAATTTTTTCACATTTCTTATTTTTTTTTAATTAATATTGTAATTTGGTGGAAGCATGGAGCGATGGTCGGAGAGGCTTGACACTGGATCAGAGCTTGCCACAAACACACAATGTTTCATTAGCAGCCATTTGCATGCTGCATTCCTTTCTGATGAGGTCTTAATGTAAAATGTTCCTATCATATTCATCTGTGGTTTCGTTCACGTATCCACAATTTCAAACTTCATCATCTCTTATCACTCACATCATCATAAGGTCAGTAATGTTTCTAATCAAGTGAACACAAAAATTATGTCTTATCGGGATATATATTAAAAAAGTTCCTTAATAATGTTTCGGTATTTTTTAAAAATTTTATTAGCTGAAACGTTTTTAAAGATGTTTATAAAATATTGAATTATATGTTCAATTTGTCGCGAAAATTAAGAAACTTTTATGTTTTTTATTATGCTAATCGTTGATTTCAATAGATTATTGTTTACAGTAGCAGCGAATGATAATTTTATTTTTATGTTTTTTAATTATGGAAATTAATTGATCTCACATGCGAAATATTTTTATCACTTTAAAATAAGATTTCTTTTTATTTTACTAACCCTTTAAAATATTATTAATCTAGACCAATGTAGACACACTTATTTTGTTGGTTTGATTTTTGTCCTATCTACATACCACGCACTCAAATTTAATCCTTCTTCATTCAGATTGTTTTACAAAATAATATAATTTATTTTGTGTTAATTAATAATTTATTTTGTATTACTACTTATATTACACATTCTGATAAGTTAGAACAGACGGTAAAAATGTTCGGTGAGCAACTGCGAAAGCAATTGAGTAGTGACCGACTTCAACTCTGTGTTTAAGTACAAAACCAAACAAGTTTGAGTGCCTGTCACGATGCTCGCACATGCATGCAAAATAAATTTAGACGTCATTGTTCGTTGACAAGCGTGTGACTTGGAAAGTAGTTTGTAAGTGCATGGAACTGAGCGAGGAAGTTAGACATGCATGACCTGTCAATGCAACGGCACTGTTTTTCAGAGTTACGATTAGTCCACTTACTTTCTACATTTGCATCACCTGCATCGCATCTTTACAACGATCTTAAAGTTTGTTAGAAAACAACCTTTCAATTTGGTGTTCCGTCATGAAGTTGAACCACGTCATCTGTGGCATCTGTATGATATCCTCCTGGCGGGTTTCATCGATTTGCTGATTTTTAATAAATAACATCAAACATTTATTTTCAAAAATTTCTCAAATGCTGATTCAGTATAATTTTTATTAAACACCGACGAGTACTACATACGTTACGCAACAAATGTGTTTAATTCATATTGATCAAAGCCATAATCATGGTTTTAAAACCTTCGTGAACTAATATTAAAAATATTTTTTGTAAAAGCATTTTTCCAGCAAAAAACAAACTCAAATTAAAACTTTTTTAAAAAAAATGGGAAAAAATCTCAAATACAAAAATGTGCGCAATCCTAAAAACGTTTGCGATGAATATTTGTTCCGTATAATGTCGTTGAATTCAATTGTTCACTTTATTGTCTTCTGACTGTCCTTTAATGACGGCCATCTTACTCCAAACGACAAAAAATCTATTTCAAAGTAATCTCACCAAATGTCACACTTTCCTTCCACAACATGTGAAAATATTTTACAAGCGCCCTTAATTAAGTCATAAAAACGTCATTTGTTTGGGTCGATCTGTAAATGTCTTTAAATTCAATTACAAGAAGATTATTCGCAAGGAATAATCTCTATCAGGTTTGCCCTTTAAACAGCAAAAAATATTCACTGGGCTTCCCTTTTATCCTAATTTTTTTCCGTTTATTACAAAGTTTCTCAACAAAGTTTTATTTAAAAAAAACAACTCTTCTCAAAAACTTGTGCTCTGTAATCAATATAACTTTGAAATAATTTGTTAGTACGTTGACCAGTTAAGAACCTCAGGATGGCCTAATGATAAGGTGTCTGATCCGGGTTCCAATGCAAACAAATTTTTAGTTAACATTTGAAGCTTTAATTTAAAAGTAATGTTTTGTGGTTTATAATACTTTAAAAACGATTAACTGAATTCATAACATCAATGAATTTTTAAACTATTTATCCAACCAATCGACCAACCAACTAACCAAACAACCACCCAATCAAGCAACCACCAAACCAATCAACACAGGTACCTTGTGGTGTGCCATCCAACAATAGGTTCAGTGCATTGCAACCAGAGATCTTCCCTGCTAACCATCATCTTCGTCTACCTCATCACTCCCCTCATGTGCATCCCCATCTACATTCAGTGCTACATTGCAGAAGATGATCATGGCCAGTATTGGTACAAGTTCGAAGGTTTCGCTACTGAGTTTTACAAAAGGGTTGGCTTTTTTTCTTAATTTAAATCTAAACAAAAATCTTTACAACGTTGATATTTCAATGACTTCACCAAAGTTTGAATAAATTTTTTAAAATATTTTTTCCAACATGGAATATTCATTAGTTTTAATTTTTGTTTACCGATTAAAAGTCAAGAAATTATAAAATGTAATGAAAAAAGGCCCAAACTTATTGGTTGTATTTGAATGCTGCTATAACATCCTTTAAAGTGTGATTTGACGATGTGAAGTTTCCGACAGCATAAAAAGAATATTTTTGTTAGCCGTTTTGTTGTATCTCGTTAATCCCCAGTGTTCAACTTACAAAGTGCTTATCTAATGCTCATTACTAGCATGTCATTCCTGACTGCTTCTCATTTTTCAAGAAATAAATTGTTATTCTAATCCAATTAGTTACACCAGCATCAGTTTCCATCGTATGGTTGGTTGCAGCTAATAACATTATGCTCATCGTCTTATTGCACAATCAACAGTCAGTATAATATACAACATTGTCGAATAGAACTCGGCAAAAATACTGTAGTAACGATTAATTGGTCTTTCTCGCTTAACCCAGCCAGACGAACGTGTCTCATCAACTCTTATTCAGCAGCACTAGATTGATCAATTATTCACTTTCCTATCCTTTTTCATCTGAACAGATGCATTCCTGATTGGATTAACAGTGTAATTGTGGTGCATTGCGAGTCGTTCCAGTTTTGTGATCGAGACCCTGAATGATGTTTTTAAACGACATAGCATTCACTTTCACTCGCAGTAGCAAAAATTATTCAGGAATTTCTGATTATTTGAACTGAATCTTTATTTTTAAAGTCATTTTTTGAAAATAAACAAAAAAGAAAAATGTTAATGATGTTTAAATAAAAAATGATCGATTTACCCGCTGGACCGAAGAATGAAACTGAATGTACCTGCTGTATTTATGCACTCCTTGGTTGCATCTATGTAGCGTGTCAATGTATCGTATCTATCTATCTATTTATTATATATGTATATTTTTTCTATTTGTTGTATCTACAATTTGTTTTGTTAATTTTATCAATGTATTGTACTGTAGCTATGTATTTATTGTATCTAGCCATTTTATCTATCTCTCGAAACTGTTTGACAAAATTATTTTAATGTAATTTTCTTTGAAGTAGGTTGATTTTAAACGCCATTAATTTAAATAATCATTTTGATGTATATAAATTTCACGCTGGATAGTTTCAATTAATTTTCTTCCTAACCAAGCACCAACCACCAACAATTACCAGGTCACTTACTTCATATACGCCGGTTTCTTCAAGCTGGCTCCCTGCATTTTGCTGACCGTCCTGAGTTTCCTCCTAATTGTGACGATCAAAATTGCCGAAAAGAAAAGACAGCAACTGCTAGCCAGCAGGCAGCACATCTTCAAAAAATCTTATTCAGGTCAGTCTAACAGAAGCAAAATGTTTTGCAACAACAAGACGAATAAAAAATCTAGAAAGATTGAAGAAGAAAAAAATGAAGTTGCAAATTCGAACATTTTAGTTGAGTTAAAAAAGAAAAACAGCATCGAAGAAAATAAAAAGACACAAATTATTGATCCCCGTAACATTCTCCTGAATGAAAATTATTTTAACAAGACATCAGAGGAGTTAGTCATGGAAACATTGGCTACAATCAGCAGCGGTAACAATAATTACGTCGTCAACAACGACACACCAAACACAACCTCACCATACACAGAAACAACAACTGTAATAACAGTTGCAACAACAACGACATCAACATCAACAATTGTTGCAACAACAATCACACAACCATCAACAACAACTGCCGATTCAAACACAATCTTCCAATTGAATTCAACAAAAAATGCACACAACACTCACGCAGTCTCCAGTGATTACAAACCTTCTGCTACCAACAGCTCAACAACTCCTCTAAATAAAAAAACAAAATCTCGAAATGAACGAACTCAGGAAAGCGTAAGGACAACTGTGATGTTGGTTGCAGTTGTCCTGTCGTTTGTGTTTGTTGAGCTGCCTCAAGGAGTTCTCGTGGCACTCAGTGGCATCAATTATTCCTTCTTTTTTATGGAGATCTACAAGCCTCTCGGCGATATTTTTGATCTGCTGGGTCTTTTAAATAGCATCGTCAATTTTGTCCTGTACTGCACTATGAGCAGGCAATTTAGAGAAACATTCGTCAACATTTTTTTTCATTGTTGCATAAACGGTAAACAAAAACGCAGCACAAAAAATAGCAAGGAAACAAAAACGAGAAGAAATGATTGCAAGAATTGTTTGGGAGGATGTTGTGGTTACAAAAAATTTTGCCTTACAACATCCGCAGCTGTCAACGATCACACGCTGATAACCAGGCATAACCACACCAAACAACGCTAACGTTTAATTACATTTTAAATTGAATCAAGTAGAACAGAATTTACTGGAACACTTGTAACTATTATTGCTTCAAAACTTATCTATTAAAAGTTGTCATTTCTGTTTTATTTTGTTTCTATGTACGAATTAGTAAAAAACTTTTTGTCATAATATTAGAAGAACGCCAAAAGTTTGTGTTGCCAAAATTTAATTATTTAAATAAAATAAAAATGTTATACATGTATGTACATTTAATAAAATGTTGTGTATATATAAGTACAGTTAACAAAATGTTGTATACATTATTACACTTGAGTATATTTACTAAAAAGTTCGTATATATAAGTACAATTGGTGTTTTCTACTTAATAAAAATGTTCTATGTTACGAATACACCATTCGAATCATCAAATGCTCAAAAGTTCAAGAAGAAGACAGCATTGACCATATGTTGAAGTTCTACAAAAACGGTTTGTTTCATTTCTATTTGCTGATTCATTTATCTTAACTTTGAATTAAGAAATATTGCATTCTAACTTATCACTTTTCCAAAAAGCAAACTTAAAATTTTCAACGGTTTTACATTTCAAGAAAAAAAAATGTGAGAGTAAGAACATTATTCAACAAAATTTTTAAAATGCGGACATTTCCTCTTTATAATTTGTTCGTTAAATTATTTCACGAGTTTAATTTAATAAAAAACTTGTTATTATTAGAATAAACAATTTGTAATTATACTGTACAGATGTTTTTACTAATTAAATAAATAAGGTTATTAATTGCTGACTTTTGGGATGTTGACAAGTTGTTTCCATACCTATGCACTCCGCAGTGTATGTTCACATGTCATATTTTGCTTCACTGAAATTGTCATTTTTAAAATGTCAAAAAATTTCAAATTTTGTTATTTTTTGGAGCTAGTTTCGTTAAGAAAATGTATATTTTCAAAGATGCCGTCAAATTTATGCTAAATCTTTTATTCTTTCTTTCAATGAAATTTGCCCACCATTGCTTTTTCAAAAAAAACTGAGCACTAAGTTCATGAATTAATAATGTAATAAAGAAAAGCTGAACAGAAACAAAACCGCCGAGGAAAGTGATGTTCACAAATTTGAAAACAAAATAGAAAAGTCGAAAAAAGATTCGAGTAAAAATGTTGTAGGAGGAAAAAAATTGTTGAAGGAGTTAGAAAAATTTCAATACATTTCAAAAATTCCCGTTAAAAAAATTAACAAACGCGAAAAATATTGAAAGGCTAAACGTACAGGTGCGTTATTGTGTAGAAAATGAAGAGCAAGCGTGGATTGAATCATCATTAACTCGCTGTGAAATGTTCAAGTCAACATTGTAACACTTGCAATAATAAAAAAGTTAATGTTATAAACTTGCTGTGTGAAGCGAACTTCATGAGAATAATGGAAAAAATTTAATAACAAATGAAAATTTTAATTAAATCTCAAAGGAATTAAAGAAAGTTGGTGGTCAAATAAATGAAGAAAGTGTAGAAAATATTTGGAATATAATTTTTAGAAAAAGTAGATACGTAATAATTGATAAGAATTAACACTTACAAACAAATTTAAATTTAAATGGTCTCAAGAGGAAGATAAATATTCATTGTTTTTGACTGAAGTTGGAAATGGAATATTTCGAATAATAAAGAACATTCAAGTAAATATTGAGGCTGCAGATTTTGCTGGTTTTTAATGAATTACAAAAACTATTTGCTGTTTGACATGGCACTAATGATAATAATAATGGACATTTTGGTATTGAAATGGTTGGATATATGTACCTTGTGTTATCGTGACATTCTTCAAATGAAAACAAGATTTCTATTTATCATACACAAACGTAATGTGTGTGGAGCGTGGATCCAAGCATACACCGTGCATGTGTTTCGTTAGAACCTTTGAGGATTGGTTAATTAGGAGAGAACTGTAAAAAGTTGGTTTCTAACAATTAAGTAGAGAAGGATCACAAGAGAAATCATTTTCCGATATAAAATGCAGGTTTTGAAACTTATTGTTCAAATTGTTCAATTATTTGAAAGACTTTATTCACTACAGATGTTTTTGTGCTGAAAAACGTAAGACGAGGTTTAAAAATTAATTTAGTTTCTTTTTTTATTTATATAAAATAAACTAAGAAAATTTTCCAAAAACAAAAATTTGCGCTATTGTTTGTGATTTAACTAAAATTTCAATTAAATTGATAATTTTTTATCCAATTTTTATATGTCATATCAGATCAACACTTAAAACCTAAAACGTTTTAAAACCTGCACATATAAATTTTTGTTAACCAGTAAAATTTAGCAGCAATATTATAAAAATTTAATAAATTCATATTAAATTAAAATCCAATTTTTAAAATATTTCGAGCATTGAACTTTATTTTTCATGACTCTCAAATGAGCAGCAGAACATTTATTAAATTTATTTTTGTGAGCAATTTAAAAAGAGGAAAAATGTTTTTACGAAATGTACAATTTGTATTTTATTTTCAATACTAATTGCCATTTATTCAGACAATTAAATCTATTGTATCAATATAGACAGTATGTCTAACCAAACAAAACTGATTTTCATTTATCCAAACTAAAACAGAAAAACATTGAAACATTTGTACCGCAACATCACGCCATGAGTCTATTTCTTAAATGACGAATGAGTTACTGTGTGTGTCTGTGTTTATATTTAAATAATGCCATTCACTCGGTGTTTCAACAGAGCTGCTCTTAGATTAAATTCAATAGATAGCTAAGCAGAGTTTAATAAACGTCAGATATAAAATATGAATTTGAAAAAATATTTTTCTTGCTTGTGTATTTTTTTATTTCGTAGAAATTTTCAAAATAACCGAGCGCATATATCATATTTGAGGATGTCAAACGTAATGACGATCGTCATCTCATTAATCACAGTTTCACGCGCCATGCATTATGCATCGTGTCATCAAATCATCACGTAGACTTTATAATAGTAACACCAGTTTATATAAATAGTATGAATAATATAAATAATAATTATTGCTACGAATATTAATGTTCATCCGTCGTTACCATTATCTTCAATTGAATTTTCAAAAATTCTCTGATTTTATAAGTCATTAATATTTCATCACATTATATTTTATCACATCACATTTAATCACATTAAGTTACGTCACATTTCATCACATATCATCGCTATGTTAGCACCGTTCCATAGTAATATCACGATATTATCTTATAGAAATGTGTGTTGCGATATACTTTTATTTGTATCTTAGTTTTTCAACTTTTTGAAATTTAATTTTTAGAAAGATAACACAATTTGTACAATAGGGTGAACAAATTGAACAAATGAACGGCGCGAATCATTCAGTCGCGTTACACTTTTTTCTACAACTACCACTTTTAAAACTTAATTTAAAAAAGGACAACATAGAAACAAGAATAACTTTCAAAAATTACAAAAACTCAAACGAATTGCCGTACGAACTTGTGTAATAAACATCATTAAAGAGTATGGATATGAAGATATCAGTGCTATGAACTAAAATAATATTAAAATCAATGTAAAAAGTAATTGTTCACACTGAACAGAAATAATTTCCAATTAACTCTTCCATTTGCCTAATGTAAGTAGTTGGAAGGGGTTAGAATGCTATCGAGTTACATTGCTATTCTCAAGCCAGCCACAGTGAATGTTTGCATAACTGTCAGGCCTTACGTGAGATACATTCTACATTCACTATGAAACGTGGAATATTTTAAAGCAAATCAATTGTAAATGAATTTCTGTTTATGATTAAATTAAATGCTCAGACCGACAACGATCTATCATTGAACAGCTTACATCATGCCACGCAATAAAGACATCTCGTACATTTCAATAAACTGAAAGGATCACGAGAACCAGCGTAAACTCTTATTCAGAAATGTAAACGGCAGATCGCATGTCTTTGGCAAATTTTAAAAATAATTTAAAAAAATTCTTCTACGTTTTTAATTTGATTCACCAGTAGCATGGCTATTTTCAAGTTTGTCTCTCAACTTTAATTAGTTAATTTATTAAATTAAGTTTTTACCAGCAACTACAAAACAACAGATATCATATTTCTTGTTATTTGAAACTGAATGGCAAATTAGACGCGAACAGCTTAAGTTATAGCAAAGTGTTGCTATATATACCCTAATTCACTTGCACGTGCATTCGTGCAGCTGCGGATCAGCTGGTTCGTGATATCTGTATCACTTGATGATATATCTATCTTTCGTGCAAGGTATTTGTTCAGAGAATGTATAAGATTCATCTTTCAAGTGTTTTCAATTTCTTTCTTACGTCAATTCCTATTTAGCAAATAATTGCACTCGGTTTGGGCTTGTTTTGTTTCTCATTGATTGAAATTAAACAGTACATCTCTTGCGATGCTGAACATTCGGAAAGAATTTAATTTTTTTATTTGGAGGTCAATTAATATTCGTCAGTCCTACCTTCTTATCTTAAAAGTTTTTTCTATCTTCAAACAACTTGAAGTTTTTAAAAGTTTATCTATGATCGAATAAATTCAAGGAAAAAATAAAAAAATATGTTTTGCTATTGAACTGAATATTCCTAATAAATGTAAAAATAAATATTTTGACATAATGGTTTTACAACTATAGATTTCTCTTGATTTTACAAAAATGCTTGCATGACGTTTCCTCATAACTCAGAAAGTTCTCCTCAATAAATCTTTTGCTGTGGATCATTTATAGAGGAGGTCTTGTCACCTGGCAGTTAAACGAAGACATCAGTGCATGAGGGCAGACGTAAAAACGATACAGAGTTGTTGTATACCGTCACCCAACTATTGTTCTTCATCTATGTTCGTTATCATGTCTAATTAGGCTTGACCTTTCGTGCATAGAAACTTATTTTAATCATCATGGTAGCTAAAAAACTATATATTTATATATATATATATATTGTTCAATAATAACTGGAGTTCATTTTTTCAATTTTGATGGAAAGACTCATTACTAAATCCTCTTA